AAGCCATATTTTCCAACTACTGAGCCTTCTTTTTTGTTTCCAGCTTTTGCGTTCCGGTCCCCAGTAATTATCAGTGCATCCTGATTGCGTGTTCGATAGATTTCAGACTGCAGAAGTTGGTAAAAATCTTCCATTTCTTCACTTTTGGCTTTAATGGTTGGTGCATAAATTTGAATAATCATATTAACTGGTCTCCCTTGTAGGAGTATGGATATTATCCTATTACTGTCAGTATTGTATTTCTGGATAGATCTTGAAATGTTCTTTTTGACGATAAATGCAACACTGTACCTCTTCGAGGTGGCATTACCAGCATAGTAGACCATATGACTGCCCAATTCAAAATGACCAATACCAATCCACTTCAGCTTACTGATGCCTAGGATATTGATCTTTATGTGTTCCATTTCATTTTTGACTATTTCCAATTTTCCTGGATTCATACTTCGTACATTTCAGGCTCCGATTATTAATGGATATTTGCACCTGTTTCTTCTCATTTTGAGTTGTGCCACATCAGTAAATAAAGATTTTGAAAGCTTGACTCCATCCACTTCATTAAGGTCAACTCTGTTTTGAGGAGAGAGCTCTTCCTCAATCATATTTTGAGAGCCTTCCAATCTGAGGGGCTAATCTTCTGGCACTATATCAGACAATGTTCCACTGCTATTCATAAGGTTTTCACTGGCTAATTCTTTTCAGTAGTAGACTGCCGGGTCCTTCGTCCTATTCTGTCTTAGTCTGGAAGCTCAGTTGAAACCTGTCTGCCAAAAGTGACCCTGCTAGCATTTGAATACCGGTGGCATAGCTTCCAGCATCACAGCAACACACAAGCTCCCACAGTACGACAAACTGACAGAGGCGTCGGGGAAGGCTAAGAACTAATAAATAACAAATAAAGGGAGGAAAGTCTGCAGCAATTGCTAAAACACCTTTGGTGTGTCAAAAACTAAATTTTGGTTAAGTGATTATATCAATAGGATGATTTTAGCTATAAGTTACAGAAAACTACAGCTCATCTGGCTTAAAGAAATCAGGAGAATATATTTCTCATATAAGAGGAAGCTTAGAAGTAGGATGATCCAGGGTTAGTTAGTTCAGTGACTCAATGGCATCATCAAGGAAATGAGATTTTGCTTGTATTTTTTGTGGATATGTCATATTCAGCATGCAAATCTATTTTAAGATGGATTCTCTGCAGAGTCACAGGATGGTACAGCAATTCCCATCTCATATCCAGATGTGACAATGTCCACAGAAAAAAAGAGTGGTTTCTTCTTATGTCATTTTTTAAATGGTAGAAAACTTTCTCAGAAGTTCTTCCCAGATACCCTCCTCTCATGTCTCATTGGCCAAGATTATATTGTACACCCATGATTAAATCAATCCCTGGCAAAGTAAACGGGACCATAATTATTGGCTTAGATCTATCAGAATTTACCCTTGGAACTGAGGATGGGGTAACCCTTCCCTGGATCATATGGTGGGAAGACATGGACATCCAAATGAAATCAGGTCCCTTCAAACTAGGAAGAAGCCAGAGAGCATTGTGAAGAAGACAGCCATTTTGTGTCCACAATAATCATAGGCTGGTGGTTTATGGGTGATTTCGGCTGGCCTATAGGCCTAGAAGCAAAGAAGATTATAAGTATGCTATAGGCACTGGTGGAGTCTAGGAAACGAAGACAGATATTTGGGAAACTTTTAGAACGTCAAGTTAGAGAAAGCAGTCAAGAGAGGACCCAGTGTATGGAAGATGATTGGTAATAGATAGCCAGAGGTAAAATAAGGAAAAGACAGTTTGAAAGGGTGGTTCAAGCAGTAATTCCATAAATCCTAACTGGATAGTTCAGGTAGTATACTATACTCTAGGTGACTTACTTACCATCTCAGAATTTTAATTCTTTACTTGTAAAATCAATATTTCACACAGTTGAAGGATTAAAGAAGATAATTTATGTGAAAGGAGTTATTTAAAACAATAAAGCACTATACAGATATTACAGGTTATTATAATGTATAATTAACAGTATTTAATCTAGTACTTTTGTCTTGTGTCCATTGCAGTTTGGGAGACATAGCAGGAAAGAGTAAGCAGAATTAATAAAATCTGTTACCTGTTTCATTTTTATTCATGAGGGCATATTTTCCACTGTAATCATCAGATAATGTGTGATCTGGATGAAAAGAACAAAGCCCTGTTCAAGATATTTCTAAGCTTTTGTTGTTGTTAGGTGCTGTGGAGTTGGTTCCCACTCATAGCGACCCTATGTAAAACAGAAGGAAGCACTGCCTGCTCCTGCACCATCTCCACAATCGTTGGTATGTTTGAGCCCATTGTTGCACCCACTGCGTCAATCCATCTCGCTTTAAGCTTTGGTCCATTCTATTTTGGTGTTTACCTACCCCGTATGAATATACATAGCACAATGATTAAGCATTCGGCTGCTAACCAAAAGGTCGGCAGTTCGAAACCACCAGCTGCTCCTTGAAAGCCCTACAGGGGCAGTTCTACTCTATGTTATAGGGTTGCTATGAGTCAGAATCGACTCGACAGCGATGAGTTTGGTTTTTTGGTTTGGATATGAATATACAGTTTTCACCTGAGTGCACAGTGTGTGTGTAATGGTTAAACAAGGTGTATATGTTCCTTTTTCTGGGTATTGGTCTATGAGTAGGTTGATTTCTGATACTGGAAAAAAGAAATTTAAGAACTCATCTACATTTTAAAAGTAGTTAAAATTTTAATTTTTAAAGCAAACAAAAGCAGGCAAAGTTAAACAACTAATTGTCTACCAAATTTGAAATGTAAATGCCTGTAGCTATTTCATTAATTAAGATGTGAGCCTTAAACCAACTCATGAAAGTCATTGACCAGGTAATTTGTTTTTTTTTCCAGGCTACTGCTGCTACTGAGGTTAATGGTATTGATGACTTTTACACCTACTCTAACTGTTGGAATCCAACAGTATGAGACTATTGTAATTCTTACTGTATATAACTGTATTCTATACAACTACACCTTAGCTTGCTCTCCTCAGGAAGCAGAGCCTGAGACAAAGTCTTGTATGCAAACACTTTATCTGGGAGCATGAGCCCTGAGAATAAAGGTGAGTGATCGGTGGAGCAAAACCGGAAAGGAGAGACGTGCAAAGTGGGGATGTATTATCAAGTGGCTATCTCCACAGACAACTAGCTGCTCAATTACATCAGCCATATAAAATGTGTCATAGGACTACCCTCCTGAGATAGAGGAAGACCCTTACCTACCATTGGTCAAGTGATTGGCCTTGCTCTTCTGGGTTGTGTGTGCATGGGTATAGAGCATGTTTCTGTGTCATCCTACACTATGGGGTCAACAAAGAAGACCTGGGAAGAAGGTGAGAGACTCCTGGTACTGTTCTGAGGAAAGACAATGTCAAGGGGCTGCTGCATTGAAGTGGTTGGGAGTGAGAAGACTGCTTCTTTCACCTGCGATTGAAGTACGACTGAGGTGAGGCAAAGAGAGACTGAAGTGGTTCATAAGGAATGCAATATACTGTATATACACACAAATAGTTTTGGGTAACGGGTTTTAGTGTTGAAATAAACATTATTACTAGCAAGTATTTACAGGACAGGTATTCTATACGCATGTATAGAGGAATCTGAGGTTCTGCTCAATGTGAATGGCACTCCCTAATATTTTTCAGTATTTACCTACCAAATTTATTAGATTTGGCAAAGGAAGTACAATGTTCATGGGTCCCATTATATGCTTTCCCTTTACTCTTGAAAATTAAGAGAAACATTAATGATTGAAAAAGAATGGCATATGAGAAATTGCTTTTATTTTCTGGTTACCAGATAATTTTTATTTTTGATTTTTTCTTTATTTTACAGATGTTCTTTTTCTTTTTTTATTGTTGTAGTTTAAATGAAGTTTACATTTCAAATTAGTCTCCCATACAAAAATTTTACATACATTGTTGTGTGACCCTAATTGCTCTCCACATACTGTGACAGTACACTCCTCCTTCTACCCCTGATTCCCCATGTCCATTCAACCAGCTTCTAACCCTCTCTGCCTTCCCATCTCACCTCCGGAGAGAAGCTGCCTGTTTAGTCTTGTGTATCTACTTGAGCTAAGAGGCACGCTCCTCACGGGTATCATTTTATGTCCCACAGTCCAGTCCAATCCCCGTCTGAAGAGCTGGCCTCAGAAATTGTTTTAGTTCTGGGCTGGTAGAGAATCTGGGGTCATGCTTTCCAAGGTTCCTCCAGTCTCAGTCAGACCATTAAGTCTGATCTTACTAGAATTTGAGTTCTGCATCCCACCTTTCTCCTGCTCCATCAAGGACTCTCTGTCGTGTTCCCTGTCAGGGTGGTTATTGGTGGTAGCCCGGCACCATCTAGTTCTTCTGGTCTCAGGCTGATGAAGCCTTTGGTTTATGTGGCCCTTTCTATCTCTTGGGATACTACTTTCCTTGTGTCTTTGGTGTTCTTCATTCTCCTTTACTCCAGGTGGTTAGGACAAATTGATGCATCTTAGATAGCCGCTTGCAAGCTTTTAAGACCCCAGATGCCACTCACCAAACTAGGATGCAGAACATTTTCTTAATAAACTTTGTTATGCCAATTGACCTAGATGTCCCCTGAAAGCATGGTCCCCAGACCTCTACCCCTGCTACTCTGTCCCTCAAAGTGTTTGAATTCAGGAAACTTCTTAGCTTTGGTTTAGTCCTGTTGTGCTGACTTCCCCTGTAGTGTGTGTTGTCTTTCCCTTCACCTAAGATAATTTTTATCTACTATCTAGTTAGTAAATAACCCTCACCCTCCTTCCCTACCCTCGTAACCATCAAAGAATGTTTTCTTCTGTGTTTAAACCTTTTCTTGAGTTCTTACAATAGTGGTCTTATATAATATTTGTCCTTCTGTGACTGACTAAATTCAGTCAGCATAATAATACCCTCCAGATTCCTCCATGTTATAAGATGCTTCACGGCTTCATCATTGTTCTTTATCGATGTGTAGTACTCCATTGTGTTAGTTACCAGACAATTTAATATGTGTGCTGGTAAGTCTATCATGAGCATGAAAACATGATATGATATTTAACTAAGAGCTGTCAAATAGTTAAGAAAGAACATCTTTGGAATTAAAGGAGCATATTATCCCTTAGTAATTTTTTTGTTGACATTCAATTAATGGCAGAAGGAGACATTTCTGTTTCTTTGGAGGACACTATACTTTCAGGTATAATGCCATATTCTGGAAGCAAAGTAGTCAGCAGTGTCTGAGCTCCTTTACGTGCTGTGTCTGGGTTTGGAGAAGATAGACTGGTAATATCAGCCATGCACCTGCAAGTTATTATAATTTCTTCTTGTAATTATAGTTATCGTGGCCATATGTTGGTACAACTTAAAGCTTTTCCAGATGAAGGGATTACTCCTCAAACCTGTGGTAATGAGGTAAGCTGTAAAAACCATGGTTATTGTCTTTTAGGAGTAACTACTTCAAATGACATCAGCAAGTTGTATTGAAAAGACTTTCTGTTAGATGATTGTTACAGAGAAAATGCTGGTCTGTTTGACAGTACTTTTCAGGAGAAGTTATTTCCAAGAAGGATGGGGCTTAGAGAAGATAACAGTCCCTGGGTGGTGCAAATACTTAAGCTCTAGACTACTAGCTGAAAGATTGGTGGTTCGAACTCATCCAGAAGCTCCTCTGAAGACAGGCCTGATGATCTACTTCTGAAAGGTCAGAGCCTTGAGAATGCTATGGAGTAGTTCTACTCTACACACATGGGGTCGCTGTGAGTCAAAATTGACTCAACAGCAACTAAAAACAACAAAGAAGATAAGCTTGTCTTGGGTACTACCATCTTCTTTCAGTAGTAAGGTCAACTATTTAAGGATGAATTTAAGGATAGTGGTTAAATTTTGGGCAGCGGACAGTATTTCATCAGTCAGCAGATTATAGTGTATTTGGGACCCCTATTTAAGGTATATGGTCTGATTTGCACTGTTTGCCTATGACACTGACACACAGATTACAGATGAGTTTAAGGTAATTGCCGTTCAACTGCTTATTTTTCATTATAAACTGTTCATTTCTTAAGTTGCAAATAATTTTTGAGTTTGTTACCTTCTTATACAGCTACATGGCATATTTCATTCTGACTCAGCTACTAAAAGACACACATCTAAAGAAGGCTAACTTACTTGCTTTATTATAATTATAATATACATTTTAAATGATAAGAGTCATATTATAGAAATATTAGGAAATAGATAAAAGACTTAAAAATCATCTGTAAATCTGCAATACTAACAAAATCTCTGCTAACATTTTTAGTATTTACTTTGTTATTTTCCCTACAGTAACCCATATTTGAATGATTACAAGCATATTGCACATATAACTATTTAACCTTATCTCTTCCAGTTAAGGAAATTTGCACCTGTTCTACTACTATGAGTAAAACGTGTTGCTTTTCTAAAGGAAAAGCTGACTACATATAGCAGAAGACTTAAAATGCTCATACCCTTGATGCAATACTAGAAAAAAATCGAAGGAAATCAAAAAAGTTATCAAAGAGTTATGTTTAAGAATATTCATCAGTGTCTTACAATAGTGAAATCTGGACAAAAATATAGTAGTCTAAGACAGGCGCTGGGTTAAATAAATTACGGTACATCTAGAAAATGCAAATAGCATTTAGTTTTTTAAGTTGTGGTAAAAGTGCAGGTATTGACCAGGAAAAATGCTTATGGCCTACCAAAAAAACCAAACCAAACATGTTGCTGCTGAGCTGATTTCAACTCATAGAGACCCTATAGGACAGAGTAGAACTGCCCCCATAAATTTTCCAAGGCTGTAAATCTTTACGTAAGTAGATTGCCGCATCTTTCTGCCACAGAGTGGCTAGTGGGCTCAAACTGCTGACCTCTTGGTTAGTAGCCACCAAGGCTCCCTTTAAGGCCTACAGTAAGGTAAAAATTAGACTAAAAAGCAATGTACACTGTATCATTCCATTAAAAAAGCTATATATATGCATATATACATATCTGATTAAACAGATAATAAGTTAACAATGGTTTGGGTTCAGTTGAAGGCAACAGAAGATACTCTAAAAAGAAATTTAATACAGAGAATTATGTGTTTAAAAATCATTGGAACAACCTAAGTGCCCATCAATGGATGAATGGATAAACAAACATGCATACATACATAGAATGGAGAACTACCCAGCTATAAAGTATAACGATAAGTCTGTGAAACATAACATGAATGAATCTGGAGGACATCATGCTGAGTGAAATAAGTCAATCACAAAAGGACAAATATTGTATGGTCTCACTTTTATAAAAAGTGAAAAATGGGTAGACACACAGAAAGCAACATTCTTTGATGGTTACCAGGAATGGGAAGGGCAGGGAGGGGGAATCACTTGCTAGATAGTAGACACTTCTTATTTCTGGTGATGGAAAAGGCAATATACAATATTGGGCAAGTCAGCACAACCTGATCAAGGTAAATGAAGACACTGAGAGGTATGCAAGAATAAAGGACAATTACAGTAGATATTATAATACATACAATTTCACAACAACAGTAATAACAACCAAAAAATATGAGTGTGATTACAGAGGTAGATATATATGCTGTGTGTGAAAAGGAAAGTATATGTGAGTACATGCATGTGCATATATAGGTATAGTTGTAGGCATAAGTATACACGAGTTTGGGTGTGCTACATATATAGCCATATATGTAACAAAGCACACGGGGGCACAGTTACAAAGACCTCCTGGACATATCCAAATACCTCTCATGTTTGGTTTATTGGGTTAAAGGGCTTGGGAACATAGTCTCGTGGGACACATCAGTCAACTGGCATAACATAGTTCATAAAAATAATGTACTACAACTAGTTTGGCGAGTAGTGTCTGGGATCTTAAAAGCTTCTGAGCGGCCATCTAAGATACAACTATTGATCTCTTCCCACCTGGAGCAAAAGAGAAGGAAGGAAACCAAAGACTCAAAGAAGAAACTAGTCTACAGGACAAATAGCCCACATGAACCATGCGTCTTATAGCCTGAGGCTAGAAGAACTAGATGGTGCCTGGTTACCACTACCAACCATTCTGACCAGGTACACAATAGAAGATTCCAGATAGAATGGGAGAAAAATGTAGAACAAAACTCAAATTCCTAAAAGAGACCAGACTTACTGGACTGATAAAAATTAGAGGAACTCCTGAGACTAAGATACCCTTTTAACTTGGAACTGAAGCCACTTCTGGAGGTCTCCTTTCAGCCAAACAATAGATTGGCCTATAAAATGAACAGTATCACCTGTGAGAAATGTGTTCTTTTAAACAATCAAGTATACTAGACCAAATAGTCAACATTTACCCAAAAGCAAAGATCAGAAGGCCAGGAGGGGCAGGGAAGCTAGATAAATGAAAACAAAACAAACAGAATGGAAATAATGAGAATGCCAACACACTGTGAAAATTTTAACCAATGTCATGGAACAAGTTGTACAAAAATTGTTAAATGGGTACCTAATTTGCTGTGTAAACATTCACTTAAAACACAATAAAATATTACAAAATAAAAAAATCATTAGAAGGGCTGGAGAAGCAGGCTCTTGACTGCGCTTCCAGGAATGATTTGCAGACTTGCAAAGGGGGCTGTTCCCCCTGCTGTGATCCAGAAGCTGTTGCCATGATCATTGGCCCCAGGACCAGATAAGCTCAGAAGAGATCTACACTAGCAAAATGGTACAGCCACTAAGCCAGGGACCAGACACTGTTATCTTTCTTTCCACTGCTGCTGAAAAATTAACACTGGCAGGACTGTGCTTGCCAACAAAACCCAGAAGTGCAGACACAATCTCCTTTCCATCTTTCAAATCTGTGTGAGCACATCTGCTCAAGGGAAGCCAGAATGCATACGGAAACTGAACTCAGCGAGTCTTCTCATCTCCAGCACGCCATCCTCTAAAATGCAGTAGGGCAGTTTACGGGGGATTGGAATGAAATTGTGAACCAATCTGCAATATTGGCTCCAAAAGTTGATTTCAGTTTCGTCCTATGTGCTTTGGATGTTTTCTAAGCTTTTCAGCATTAAGCATGTATTACCTTTGTGATTAGAAAAAAATAGTAAGACTTTGCGTCATAGGTAGTTTTTAGTGTTACTATGTAGGATTCATAACCCTCACTTTCAAAGTTACTTGCTTTGTTCTCAACTGAGAAAGAATTTCTCTCCCTTTCCTTCTGTAAAGTGAGATCAAATTCCAAACAGGGTTTCTCTGTTTCCACAAAGTTTCTGAAAATAATCAAATTTATGTGAAGTACAAAGCAAAAAACATACATGTAAAAGGCAAATGCAACTCAATATCTAGAATGAGGATGATGGGCATAAATATTTAGGAAAAAGAAAACAGCTCTTTTTCATTTTGATGCAGTGACACATAGTTTTATCCTGTTGGCCAATCTGCAGCGTGACAAATAAAAATGCTCCTTTCATAATATCCTTATGAGGGCTGGGAAAAAAGTGTTTAGAAAGTTTGCTTTGCCGAGTCAATCACATAAGACACTACCTGTCAAACATGGAAGATTTCATGTGTTGATGCTTATGTTGCTTCCTACCCAAAGAAAGCAGCTTGAACCTAAAAATAGTGCAGTGCCCTGGGGAGGAAAACTGCTTCCTTCACTGTGATATGAGTCTGCAAATTCATTTCTACCCGGAATACCAATTCAGTTTGATTTTATTGCTTTCTGTTCTGTATTTTTGAGATGTCTGCTGAATGCCAACCAATGTGTGATGTGGCATAGAAATTTGAAAGTAGGAAGACAAGGGCTCTGATTCTTTGATAACCTTTTTTTGAGATGAATTTGAGACAGATACATTTAAATACTGAAAATAACTGCAAATGACTGAATGTCATAGCAGGTTTTTAGATAGAAACTAATTTTATGGCGGATTGCTCCTACATTGACTAGAGAAACATTTTCAGTCTGTCTGATTATAAGAATCATCTGGCAAATATTTGGGGGATAAAACTACAGGTTCCTTTTGCCCTACTCCAGAAAGTTTGGTTCAGTAGAGTGAGGGCATGTCCTAGGAGCCTGTATTTTTATAAAGCTTCTGATGTGCTTCTGTTGATCTAGATAGTGACCACTGAACAAGAGGAGATAAGCAGGGCCTGCTTTTATCTGCTTTGACACACAACATAATACAAATACCTCTTAATATCAGGCTTTGAGAAAAAATAAAAAGGCTAATTTATTGGTGATATACACAAACAGAGAAGAGACGCCAGTGGACCCTCTACTCCCCTCCCATTCTTCTATTCACGTGCAAGCATTCAACCTCGAGCTGGTAGTGGTTGACTGGCTGCCTTGCTAAGCCTCTTTTTAAACTGTGATCTGATAGCACTGAGTGTCTACCAAGGCTT